TTAGGTAGAAGACAAATTGATTAAATCTAACTTCTCTTGGCGAGCGTCGGCTGCGTTACGATGGATAATGTTCGACGAAGAGTTTTCAACGAGCAGAGAGTACAGAATATTCCATCGATAGAGAATCCACATGTGGAGGGAGGGGCGTGTGCACGAAAAGGTACCTTAACGCAGACACGCGTATACGCGGACACACGGATACGCGCACTCACATAGAGGAGAATAAGCTACGCCGTACATCCGGTATTCTCCGCAACCCGCGAAATATTGCAATCACGCGGACGTTAGCCGGGCTTTACAGCGAGTGCAGCCAGTGTATAGGGGCTTACCAGAAACCAGGGAGTTAGCCGAACACGTCGGTTTATTTGCTCGTACAGCATAATACCAGGAAAGTCCGACGAGCGCTAGCGGTGGAGGCATTGGCGACGGCGGTGGTGGTTGTGTGAGAGAGAAACTGGTGGTGTGCTGCTGCTGATGGTGGCGGAGGCGGTGATGGAGCCAGTGGTGGTCGTTGGTTTACTCGTTAGAGCGAGTAACGTGGCGTTTTACGAGCGCGCAGGCGTTGCTTTATCTCTCTTTCTCACGCGGCCATACGTAGGTAGGTATACACAAACACACGGAGAATCGTTCGCTCCCTTTCCTATTCTCGATGCAACGGTGTTACCGACGACCTGTTAGTGTAAGAGAGAGGAAGCAGAGCGTGGCTTTGTTGCCGCAAACTTTCGCTCCGTCGGAACACTCGCTGCTGACCCTTCAATTAAATGTTTCCAGATACACTCAACCTGGAGCGTACTTCTCCGTTATTATAGCGTGGTTGCCCAACGAATTAAGGACTTTTATGGATGAGTTGCTCTATTTCTGTGTTTCCTTATCAATTCGATATTTAGCTTCTCACCATTGGAATAGAGTCCTTATCTTGTGGTTGTTTCTTTTCTCTCTCTCTCTCTCTCTCTCTCTCTCTCTCTCTCTCTCTCTCTCTCTCTCTATCGTATCTAGTTTATTTCCTTTCTCTTCCTATCCATTTCGCTAAGAACTACGACAATTTGTGGTATTAGTCGAGTTCCTCGATACGTATTGGAACATCGAGGTTACGATGAAGATCGTGGCACGAAGAAGGATACGAAAAAAGAATAAAAAGAGAGGGAAAGAAAAAGAAAAAGAAGGTACGGTTGAGAGGGAGGAGTTGAAAGAGCATTCGATGCACGTCACCGTTTTACAGGCGAAGAATTTTATCGGCGGCACTTCGTCGCTTTGCATTTTTATGCCAAGAGTGTTGCTGCCAGCTTTCAGGTATATATACCCCTCTATAATACATACGAAAGACACCCGAGAGTGTTTGTACGTGAGCGTATTCTACTGAATACACACACAAGCACGCTTCTATTGCATCTCTTTCTTTCTTTTTCTCTCGTGTAGTTGCCGTTGCCACTAAGGGGGCCAGATCGCAATGGAGCTAATGCGATGGTGGGTGCCGAGTACATGAGCATACTCGAGAAAGAGAGAGACACGGAGCACTTTGCGAGAGCTTCTTGCGGCTTTCGCGATATTACGAGCTCGGGCACCCATGCTTCCGTCTCGACGTGTCACGACCCCTCCTTCCACGCTCCTTCAATTCCGGAAAGAACGAAACACACACAGAAAAGATAATATGTGGAAAAGCCGAGCTTAAATTTCTCCCATTTGCATGTCGGATTTTCTTTTTTATCGATTCATCGATTTAACGTTCGATCGATCTATCACGAAAAAGTCGTCATTTCTAATATTTCATCTTTCATTTGAAATGAAATTTTTATTTGTTATTACCCTCTGACGTGTAAGAGAGAGAGAGAGAGAGAGAGAGAGAGAGAGAGAGAGAGAGAGCGAGATAACAAAAATAATTAAAACGATTACTCGATTGCAATTCGATATCTGCGATTTGACGAGCGTACGAAATTTCTGTTTCCCCGCAGTGAAAAAATATCTATAACGTATAACTGTGGACATTTTAACGAGTAATTCCGTCAGTCGTATTACTTCAAACAAAGAACCGTTAGCCTGGAGGAAAAGGAAGGGTGGGGGCTCGGACCAGCAATCTTCGTGGTCCAATTTGGCGCGGAAGAGAAAAATTCATTCCGAGAGAAGAGATTTTCATATAGCCGGTGTGAGATCCAGGACAATGAGAACCCACAGAACCCAAACTTACCCTCCATCTTTTTGTCTATTCCTCTTTCCTCACTTTATCTTTTCTTCTTCCTCCTCCACTCTCTCGCAGGCCACCACCCTTGCGAGCGGTAAAGCATCCATCCCCATTCATTATTTTCTTGGCTACCTCTCACCCGGAGAAAACTTCTCGGCAACGCAATTACGTCTCCAACGGGGGAGGGCTTTTTCTTTTTCTCTCCTCACTTTTTTCTCGTTTTCTTTCCATCGCCTTCGCTTTTCTAGAACAAGTCATCCCTTTACTCCACAATCTCCCAAGCCTTCTCCATCTCCCGAAATCTCCTTCGCGATATGCTACTACGAGCTACTGTAGATGGGGTGGCACCTCGTGACAGCATGCTTTATTTTGGCTTGTTCGGAAAATAGTTTCGTTTCTTTTTATGAAAATGAAAGACAATTTTCCTATAGTGAGTGAGCTTTGAGATTAAATCTAGGCGTTTCAAATAATCATGAACGGTCGAATTCGATAAATTTAATCTCTCAACGAGCTCACGAGTTGTTGTTCGCCGGTTTGCATCAATTAATGTCTTTATTGTGTCTTCATCAGCTTTAACTGTCCTTTCAGAACGTGGTGAATTTTCTTAGCCTATTAAGCTAGGCCTATTAGCGCTTCGTCCTCGAAGATGGTGTCGAGCGTAGAAACGTTCCAAGTATTCGTCGATTCGAAGGTACCACCCTGAAACATGAAAAATTCAACTGAAGAAAGAGGAGGGAGCGCGATGTAAAGGATCGTTGAAAAGAAGTTCGTATTTGCAACTACTTGTACAGACGACATTTTCATTCTCCAAGCGTTTGTCCGTGACCCAGGAAATTACGATAAAGCGAGTACGCGCTCCGTTTTAATTACGTATTCCATGGAGCATAAATTTCATAATCGATGAAATTTGTTGACTAGAGGGTGGGAGCTCATCGAGTTAAGGCTTCTTTAAAGGCTCGCGGAAAGGAGAGCGACGGAAGCGGAGGGGTTGGGGTGACCGAAACAAAAAGTTCCGTTCATCAACGTCGACGCCGTAGTAGAGCGCAAGCTCTCATGCATATGTATAGAGTTTGCGAGCTACGTTCACATCTCCTTCTCTCTTCACCCACTCCCCCCTTCCTCTCTCTTTCCCTATGTCCGTCGTGCACTTTCATATGTGATGCTCGCGGATGGCTCGACTCATTTTCGCGTACGTTATAATTAGTGGCTTAATGACTGGCACTTCGAAGGCGACGGGTAATTAAAACATCTATGTGTGGCGCGTGTGAGTGTGAGTGTGTGTGTGTGTATTTTTTTCTCTCTTTCCTCTCGCTCCATCCTCCCTGGCAGGCTTTCGTGCTCTTATCTGTACGGCCCCTCCCCTCTCCTTCTCGTACTTCTTCGTCTCCTCCTCCCGTTCCATTTGTCTGGCATCGTGCTTTCGGTTATGGAAAGGGAAACTTGCCAAGAATTTTAGTGGCCACGATATTTCAATTAACATCCGAGACTCGTTTAAGCGGCAGTGAAAATTAGTGCCGTCGGCAACGGCAACCAAGACGAAGAGGAAACGAAAAAGGGAGGAAGAGAGAGAAAGAAAGTGAGACAGATATAAAGAGTTAGAGAAATTTCATAAGGATTTTACGTTTATACCGCCCAGTAGTTGAGCCAGCCTTTATACACCCTTCTCTCTTTTATGAGTCGCATTAAGCGCCGTACATAGCTGTCTAACCGTTTTTAACATTAAACAAGTTAGCTTCTTCGTTTTCTCTTCCTGCTTTAAATGCGCCCAATAATTTCGTGTTAATTATAAGGGTGCAAGAGAGAGAGAGAGAGAGAGAGAGAGAGAGAGAGAGAGAGAGAGAGAGGATGATACAAGATGTGTATTATTTAAGATCAAACCTAAATAGAGATTTGCTAAACGATATAGCGATCAAAAGTTGTTCAACGCAAACTTTATCTTTTGATAAATTATGAACTTTTATAAACCGCGTTGCGAAAGTGAGATAAAAAGAGAAAAAATATTTTCGATGACGCTCTCGGGCGTCCGCTAATTACGCGCAGCATCTGTTCAATTTTTCAAACTCCGCGGCTCGATTCGATACATCGCAGCAGACTGTTTTCATCGACCCGGTGATTTTCATTTTCAATGAAAGAGAAATTTTGTCATTACGTTTCGACTACGGGCTCCGAGTATATTTGTTCGTATTATCGTTTCCGGGATGAAGCGTGCGAGTAAATAAATATCACGTACGCTCGTTCGTAATCATTTTATTTGAAGAGCGTTTCAAAAGTACAAGTCCACGTACCTGCGTACACACGTATATGTGAACGTAAAACGAACGATTCGTTTTATAAATCATCGACGATGGTTTCGCATAGATAAACAATCGGACATTGGCGCCGAAAGTGTACTCTGTTGGTCGATTTTCATTTCCGCACGTATCCAGAACGGACGGACGAGCAACGATCAGTTATTTTTCTCTCCTCGAACGGATCGGCATGCTGGCGTAATTTTCCAATTATTGACTATATCGTAAGAGTTCGATTTAATCCTCGTTAGTTCGTTCCAGCTTGAGGATACTGTCAAGGATACTCTCCGAGGATTATGGACCATTTGCAGCTCCTCCTTTTGCTCCTAAGAATACGTTTAAATGATCCTTACTTCGTCTTAACTATCACGGTTAAAGCGCTCTTAGGATCCTACATGCTCTCGTATAAATTTTTTAGAGGGTCGTACGTGTGCCCTCTTCGCTCTTCCTACATTTGCTAGTAAAATCTCAGAACGATTTTATTACTTTTCAAATGTAATTCTAACGAAAAATAATCTTTTGTCGTTTTCTTTCAGACGGAGATAGCGAAGAGGTTGAACGCCATAATCGCCCAGATTCTACCCTTCCTCTCTCAGGAACATCAACAGCAAGTCGCCTCTGCTGTTGACAGAGCCAAGCAAGTAACCATGACCGAGCTGAATGCTATTATTGGGGTGAGTACGCGCCAATGGCGGATAAATTAATCTGCGCAACGTGTGCCACTCAGCATGATATTATTGATTATGATTGCATCTAGTGCCGAGCGTCGTTGAAACGATATTAAAGCGTATATCCGACGTAAAGCGCGTCATGCTCGTACATACGAGTAAAACGTTAATTGCGGCTCGCTCGTGTGGATCGTATTTCGCATTGCCGATGTATAGAGGATAGTCCAAGGTAAACGTGAATCAATGCAAGGATCGCATTATCCTCGATAAATAAACGCGTAATTCGAGAGATTTAGATAGTGGCCGGTTATGTCACTATCTAATTGCTAATATTATTTTGTTTATCTACGATCATTCTTCTATATCACGTAAGATCAATCGAACAAATTTTGAAAAATTGGCCTATATATATATATGTGTGTGTGTCTGTGTGTGTGTGTGTGTATATATATATAGGAAATATATAGGAAAAATATTAGAAATTCGTTGATGTAGAAAACCGAATGAGAACCACTGTACGATAGTAAGAGGAAGCCGATGCACGCTCGAGGAATCCGAAAGCGGACGGATGGATACGATCCTGGCGAATCCGAAATCCTCCTCAATATTGCTCGAGCACTCAATTTCCTCCCTATTAAGCCGCCGGCTTCTCTCGACTCTCTTCCTCCGCCTTCGTCTCCACCTTCTCTTTCCACAAGTACCACCACTACCATCACCATCACCATCACAACCACCAGCACCAGCACCAGCAGCATCACCTCCACCTCTCTTTCCTTTCTTCCCTTCTCTTCCCTCTTCCTTCTTCGACTTCTCCACCTCTTCCTCTTCCTCTTTCTCAGCCAACTCCAACTCGAATCTTACAGTGAGTCTTCCTGCCGGTTTCCAGACCGGATAGGTTATAGTGTTATGGCGCACGAGCACCAACTAATCAGCATTCCTACCTACCCTCCTTGCCCCTTCTTCGTCCCTCCCTCGTCCCACCCTCATCCCTCTCGAAACTACCATGGATCCGCGGCGTTGTCGGGGTACGTGCGGCAAATCCTTAGCAGGATCCCAGGATTCTCGGCGCCTTAACTCGCTCCATCTCAACCTCGTTCTATCCTCCCCCCTCTGCCTCTGTTTCTCTCTCTCTCAACTGGCCGCAAGCAGATCGAACGGAAAAGTTGAGGCTCACTTCTGCATCCCTTTCAGTAACTTACCCCTTTTAATTGATACTGTGCAAATGATTGGACTTATTCCAGGATGCTCGTAGAGTCGATCTACCAAATATTTTATCCAAAAGTAGAGTATTCTTTGATTCATTTTAAAGACATCAAAGTAAGTAAATACGTATGTTCAAGGGGCGACTCGAGGTTTGGTTGCCTCGTTCGACGATGAGGTCGTTATATAGCAAATAATTTCATCTTTGTTTTCTTTTAAAATTTTACTACCGGATGACTCACACACACACAAAGGGAGAAAAAATATAGAAAGAAGAAGAAAAAAGTGACGAGCGTCACCAAGAGCCATTCTCGGCTTGGTCGTCGACAAGTCGCAAGCAAGGCTGAGGATGCTTTTCAGCCGGCAACGACGCGGGATATGGAAGAAGGTTAAGACGATCTCCTACGGTCCTCCAGCACAATCTTCACGGTTAGCCGAGTCAGCAAGTGGCGACTCTGATGAAAAGTGCTGAGGACGAGACTGGCAATGGATGCAGGTGCACGAGGAATTTCGAGCCTCTTCTTCGATGTGTCTGCTTCTGTTCTCTCTCTTGTGCAAAAAGAGAGAGAGAGGAGGGGGAAAAAATTCAAGTGTATCACGATCAGTAAAAATTTGTTTGAAGCTGCCAACTTATCTTTACACCGATATAATGTATTGTGTTCGGAAAAGAATGAGAAAATTGTTGATAAAAGTCGACGCTAAATGGAATTTAATTGAAGTAGCAAGAATAATTATCTTCGCGCAAAGACTAGGCAGCGATTTGTTCTCATCTCTCTTCCTCTCTCTCTCTCTCTCTCTCTCTCTCTCTCTCTTTCTCTCTTTAGGCAAAAGAGGCAAAATAAAAGCGAGGGGTGGGAATGAGAAAAGAGAAAGAGAGAGAGAGAGAGGTGGTAGACTTTAGGTGTGGCAGCTTCAGGTTCTCGGTATTATTATCGCTGCAGAGAGTAGAAACTCGAGGAACGTTTCCTCGGGGCTTCCGGCTTTCCCAAATCTCCAGCAACGTTTGCGAGAGCATCTTCTCTTCCAACTCGAAGTGGTGCTCACCCTTCGCTTTCTCTTTATCTCTCTCGCACTTCACCGAGAGTTAGCATCATCCCCGTTCGTCGACACGACGGTATGCCCGTGCATACATGTCGTTCTCCCTCTTCTCTGTTTGCGTGTTTTGTGGGTGGTTCTGCTCAGACAGCCGCTCGACGCAAGGTTATTATATCGTTAAGCCATTTAATTATCTCGGCAAACTACTCTCAGGAATATTCGCCGGGGTCTGCCTTAACACGTGTATACCGTACAAGCAAAGAGAGATACAGATAGAAAGAGATAGCGAGAGAGATGAAAGATTCTCCAAGGATTGTACGTGAAGCGGTTTAACCCTCGACGCCAACACCACCACCACCACCACCACCACCATCACTACCATTTCCTACTATAGCGTTTCTCTATCTCCATCCCCGTTCCCGTTCTCTTTCCCGTTCCCGCTCCCGTTCCCGCTCCCGTTACCGCTCCCGTTCCCGTTCCCGTTCGCTTTTCGCCCGAGATTCGCGAACCGTTAAAACACCGCTGAAGAGCTTTACAACTTGTCTGTTAACTAAAAATGACTCGACACCAAGTGGGAAGAGAGGAAAGGAGCGAACTAACGAGGCAACTACCGGCGAAAGGAGCTTCGCGCTTTCTAACAAAGTTTTTGGTGACGTTCGCTGCAAGTGACCGCATAAATCTCATCATGCTCTTTCTCCTTCGCTTTTCCTTATTCCTCTTATTTCCCAGTTTTGCACTTTTCCGCGTCGGAAGGCTCGGTTATTTAAAGTTTCTCGAGTTTGTGCGACAAGTCGTTATACATCGCGAGCATCGCGCCATTTTAACCACGCTGGAAGAGAAAGAAAAAACGAGAAGAGAAGAAGAAAGAAAAAAAGGCAAAGAGTTCGGTAACGGTTACTCGTCCGTACAAGGGGATACACCGACTACCCCGATGGTTTGCTGCGGTCTCCCGCAACTTTTTCAACAAACAAATTACTAAGCTCGTACATTTTCCTTTTTCGCAAAAATGAAATCGTTTGATCAATTATAACGCGTAAACAAGCAAAAACCTGCTTCTCGTACCTACCTTTAATATTGCCTCTCTCTACGAACTATTTGTCATGAGAATTTATTTGCTTATGCGTTCGTACGGTGCAACTTGTTACAATAGATAAGTTTACGTTTCTCAAACAGAGACTTCTAACGAAGTTGAGTATTCACGAGCGACGAGTTACCTAATTTTTTGTTCAACTAGCTATATTATCATTCAAATGATTCCATTCTGTTATCCGCGTTTCTACAATTTCTTATTCCCGCATATATCTCCTCGGCATCATCGTTTATTTGTTTTTTGGTTATTTTCAGCAACAGAGGCCTGACTTGCCGAGGCTTCTTCAACAAATGCAAGCACATCAAATACCACCGGGCGCAACGATGGGACCTCACCCAGGCATTCCTGGACTACCAGGATTAGGACCTGGAGCTGGTCTTCCGGTACCCAGTTCCGCGTCCGCGACCCTTTTGAGTCTTGGTTTGACCCCAGGTGCTACAGCAACTCCCGGAGGTTCTGCGGCTCATCCTCTTTCGATGTTGACCAAGCCGGACCTTCATCGAGGTCAACCAGATGATCTCAAACCTAACGGAGGTAAGCTTCTTAATCCAATCAAAGTATTATTATGTCAACAATATTATTTAGTCATATATATCGCGTTAATCTAATCGTCCTATTATCTTGAAAGATTCATTTCGCCGAGAGCAATTACGATGGGGGGAGTTCCAAGAGTTACTCTCATTACAAACTTCGTCGTAGTTACACGTCGACGAAGTGTCGACTTACAAAAATTGCTGGCTCAGTGTCTCGCGGGTTTCCTGCTTCTCCTATGAGAATCTTATTTGCGCGAATACGATCGGGTGTGACACGGAAAAACAAGAAGGCTCTACTATTATCTTTCTTCGAAAAAACGGTTACTTATCGTGTTTTCGCGATATCGTTTTGCTCGCCTACTTGTTTTATTTTCTCTTATTGTGTGTCAGGAGACGGTATCATGAGAATGTAAGACGATAGACCTAAGCTAGTTTGATCCTCTTGGTGAATCAACGGTTTAACTGTTATGAGATGAACAAAATACTTTTGGCTTGGATCAGAAGTCTTCTCGATAAGAATATACTTTGAAAGTAATGCGATTCTAAATCGAAAACGGTCATCGACGGTTTCCTAGTGCTCTTCGCTAGAACGAAATACGTATTCCGTGACTGGAAAGCCAAGGATGACGCAAACGATCGTGCTTAAGTCCCGATCTTGACCTCGCTCCGGTACTCGCGTTGATGTCCTCCTCGGCCTGTATATACCTCCTACGTACCAGTGCTAGAACCTTCACACTGACAGAATCGTGAGCGAGAAGGAAAGAAGGAGGAACCGAGAGAAGGAATTGTACCATCTTCTATCACGCTTTAGTTCTCTTCTTCGTCCACCCAATGTCATCTCGTTCAGCCTCGCCCATCTTTTTTCTTCTTTTTCTTCCCTTTCTTTCTTTTCTTTCTCCCTCTCTCTCTCACACACACACACACACACACACACACACACACCATAAATACACACAAAGTCTTTCTTTCGCCTCTTCAACTATCTCTCTTTCCGTCGTCGTCTCTCAAGAGAGCACTTAGAATCTCCTCTCGACACGAGGGTACTTCCGACTCCTTCCCTCGTTCCTTCCGACTCTAGCTACCTCCTCGTCTAAAACCTTCACGCCCCTAAGCCGCTTGATCCCTCCCTCCTCCCTCGCTTTCCCTCTCCCTCTCTCTCTCCCTCTTCCTCTCCCTTTCCCTCTTTCTCGTTTTCAGTGAGCTCCTATATACCCATGCTATACGTATGTCTTTCCTTCTTCTTGGCCGCACTCCATCCACCTCGACCCACACTCGTCTAACCGTGTTATACTCCTTTGTCCGATGTAACCTCAGAGCAGTTGTTACACGTTGTTTCGCGTCCAACTTCGTCGACGTCTCATATACCTACAACTTACAGAAGATTCCGAAAAGATTTTTCTATTTCTTTGTTTCTTTTTTTCGTTAAAAAACAATCTCACCTTCCAACCCAAATCTTTGTCCTCATGTCGTTCATTTACTTTTGTCATATTTATTGTTTATGGTGATGAGACTTTGTTTAAAAATGTCATATTAATTAACATTGTTCAAATATTACGTTCTAACGTCAACGTGGAACAAGTATAAGGGCTCGTCAAAGGGCAACCCGAAACCTTTCGATGGCCTTTTTCGAAGACTCAGCACGGTATGTGAAAGTCTAAAACAATAATGGCTAACAATTTTGATCCTGAGTGCGTAGCAAAAGTTTTTTTTCCCTTCCGGGACAATCCCTTTCCGGGACATTGCCTCTGGCGAATTGTTCTTTTGCTAACGTTGTTATCGTCCTTACCGTACTCTATGCCCGTCTTCTTTTACCTCGTCGTCAACATAATATCCGTCAGAAGCACTCGTCCGATTCCTTTTTACTCGATCGCTCGCTATTCGAGAACGATTTCGTGGCCGATCGCAATAGACCGGACTCTTTTACGGACGATTAGAAACCAGTAGCGTCGCTCGTATTACCGTTTTATCGCCGACTCTGTCCTCGCAGAAATGCTTTTTTAAGATAGACTGTGAGATAAAGAGAGAGAGAGAGAGAGAGAGAGAGAGAGAGAGACAAGGGAGAAAGAGGATCCGGTTTTTCTATGTTTTTTCTTTCTTCCTTTCTTTTATTCTTTCTCCTTTTCTTTTGTTCTTTTTCAGATCTGAACCACTAACCACTTCGGTAAGAAAAGTAAGATGGCCAAAGATAGAAAATTCAATCTATCAACCTGGAAAAGAACTCGTTTGATAATTCTCCCTTCCAGTTTTTCTTCTACTACTGTTAGTATACCTTTTTCACGCAAAAGTATTCGGAACGAGCTATCAACCTGTTCATTTCTTTTAAGTAGATACTTGACGTAAACTTCATCCTCGATGAATAATATCACTTTCACCTTTTCGTGTTAACGAAAAAGTCAAGCAATAGGTTTCCATCATCGTACTCTCGATACGATTCATCGAATCCAAGCATAATTCTCTTCTCTAGCAAGCAATAATTCGCAAGAAGGTATCGTTGGAATGACTTTCTTCGGAAAGTACTCGGACAAATGCCGAACGAGTCGTTCTCTCGGATGGCGAACGACACCCTTACTGGTTTTAGTAGGAAATTATACGCGCTCTTCCGCGTCCGTTTATGGGGGCATCCAAAGGAGTCCCACGAGGGGACTCCAAGAGAAATCTCAAGGGAGAGAAATGGAGTTCCTTTGGGAAGGACAAGGTAAGGAGAAGATGACGAACATTAGCCAGGTTTACGGGGGACACGTTTGCTAGCAATTTCTCTCTCTTTCTCTCTTTCTTTCTTTCTCATGTAGACGACGTTAGCGTATATCTGGGCAAGCATCTTCCAGCCTACCCTCTCGTTCATCCCTTTGGACGTTGGAACGCTCGTATACGAGTTTAACCCTCCCATCTCCTCGATATCTACTTCTTCTCTCCTCCTCGGTAATAGCCGGGAAATATGAGGAAATTCTTCCGGTCGACCGCATCACCCTACCGTTATTTGGTGAACCATAAAACGAACACAAAGGATCGAGAACAACTTTCTTATTCTCTCTCTCTTTCTCCCTCTCTTTTTCTCTATCTTTTACACAAGCACAACGACTACGTTAAGCTATTTAATGTATTTAATCTATAATCCGAAGAAGAAGAAGAAGAAGAAGAAGAAGAAGAAGAAAAAGTAATTTGTGAAAAAAGAGAATAAACGATAGTATGCGGATGCTATGTGGGGCGAAGGACCGTTAGGATATTTCCTGCGAGACAAAATGTACCTATCTAGAGGATGAGGAGGTTGGGGAAATCGAGCGAGAGCAAACTACGAACTCGGTTTCTCGAGGACAAAGCTTCCTCCTTCGGGCTCTTCTCCCTTCCTCTCGCATCCTATCTTCTCCTCTCTCTCTCGGTATTTCCTCTCTTCTGTTCACATTCTCTCGCTCCTCCAACTCGTCCACTCTCTTCTCGGAAATTCTCAAGAAGTCAGACTTCCCTTCTGCTCCCATTCTCTTCCTTTACCTTTTTTCCTTTTTTTTGTTCACAGAAAAGATCCTGTAGGTGTACCGCTGACTCAATTCGATTCGATCTTCGAATAATAGCGAAATAAAATAGCGCATAGTGCAGAAAATATCTGCGCCGTTCATCCTTATCCAGAGAATTTATTTGCATTTTTTTCTCTGTTCCAGGCCTTAATCCAGCCGAGGAGAGGCATGTAAGTATGCTTACCATGTATATAATATAATCGTACATTACTATTCACCATACACTTATTTAAAATTCATTTGCTTCTATCGACGTAGGTAAGCATTTAGGTGCTTTCCTTTTTTAAATCACCCTAATATCCACATTAATTTGATCGATTTATCGAAACGTAATAACTGCAGTACGACGTCCTTGGCAATCTCGCTATTGGCGAAGAACAGTGATCTTTGATATCGGACCGATGCCAAACCTTTCCTACAAATACGTTCTCTGAACTTTTGCCAAGATATCGCGAGTAAACGACTATCTCATCGGTCGAATCGTTCAGGCCAACGTTGCTCGTTCAAAGAATCTACCGAATGAAAAGGAAAAGAATGTAGAAGTGATGAGAGGAAGAGAGAGATAGGAAGAGAGAGTAGAATTTGTCGGCGGAATCCGTAGAATTCAACAAATTCCACTCGCGATCAATCTAGTGGGGAGGTGAAAGAAAGAATGGTTCTCGGGAATACGTGCAAGTAGAAGTAGCCACGGTTGGCTGCCATTTAAGCTGCCATCATTATATTGCGAGCTTCAATTCGACTTTACATTCTCGCCTTAATCCTTCATCCTTATCTCGAGAGACTTCGCAAATCGCTTTTGACATTCCAATAAGCCGTTCGCGCGTATACATGTATTATTATATGTAGTATATATCGTAAGTATTATTTATTTATTTATTTGTTTACGGAATAAACTCATTAGTACATAAATTTAAAAAAAGGTCAAGTAAAAAAGCAAATAATAAATAATAATTAATAAAAATTACTATATAAATTTAACAAAAGAGATATAGTAAAAAAGAAAATAATAAATAATACAAATAATAATAAGAGAGTTATACACACCAACAAAAACTAAAAATTTGAATTTAAAGAAAAACTTTAAGGAACAGCTGTTCAAAATGCTGCAATGAGACCTTTAACTGAATACTAGAGACATTTTTACCAGCAACATTATATACACCACCTCTATGCTTAAACGATTAATTTTATTTATGACGGTCACGCCTGTAAACATTAAAGTTTTATTATAAATCGCTGAGCTTGATCCTTAGGCCACGAGCATTATGATAATAAATCCTCGGTGTGAAAATATATTTTATGAAGACAGATTAGTTTTGACGATTTTAGGGATGCCATTTAAAAATCTAGTACTCATATTAGATATACCATTTTTCGTTACCGATTTCACTCCTTAATGATTTCAATGATCATGCGGTGCGTTGGTATGGTTCTGACTGATGTAAAACGGAACCCCAATATCTAGATTTATTTTTCAAAACAGAAATAACTTCATGTTCTGAGGCAAAAGTGATTCAAATAGGACGAATTTTATTAGGATACTTTCTACCAATTCTGGTAGAACGAGATACTAAATGAGCAGATGGATTAATTTTAAACAGAATATTCTTGGCCAAGACATCCTCAGAAATATTCGAGTTAGACGATACAGATGAGTCGTTTTCTTCTAGATTATATAATATAATATTAGACGATCTTTTCTCTCTTTCAATAATTTCGCCAATGACTTCCTCCGCAGTAACGGGTTTCTTCGAGTGTTGATCAAAATTTTGCATTTTATTCTCTATAAAAGAGACACGATCCGTGATAATATTTATATCATTATGAACTTTCAGAATATCATTTTTGAAGCTTTTAATGAGATTGTCACTCATTAAATTAATTTCCTCTCGAATAATATCACAAAACTTATTGTTAGTATTAAAAGGGCATCCTTCGAGACGGTATTTTGGGATTTACAATCTGTAAACTTGTCGTTCGGATAAGAAGGAGTAGGAATTATTATAAAAAGCCTTTAACGTGATTCGATAGCATAATTCTTTGGCAGCATGGTATAAGCGCGTCGAACTAAACTGGAAATTTGTTCCAACGGATAATGGGCCAAGCCCGAAGACGATTATTGAAATGTTACATTCGGTCTCGATGGAAATTCCATTAGTCTCGATCGAGTTACCGATTATCCTGCCTTATTATTTCTCCACTTTCTTCCGCGATAATGAATTCATTCTTCTCTCTTAGATTCTATTATGGAATAGCAGATAGGTATATAGATATATATATTTAATTCGAGCATTGGTAAAAGATCGATCGCTATTATTGTCATCGTGTCGGAACCGATGTGCGAGTGATTCCGATTTTAATTAAATTTACGACGAGATCCCGTCCAAGTACGCTTTATTAAAGGAGTAATTTGTGAAATCACTACGAAGGAGTATCTTGGCAAATCCTTTGCTATTTCTTGACGTAAATTGATTTAAAAGTTTGCCACATAGAGAATATTTGTTTTAACTTCTTTCTTTTTTTCTTTCTTTTTTTCTTCTTTTGCACTTTACGTCAGAGAAAAAAAAAAGTGGAAAGCAAAAGGGAAGGAAACTCGTAGAAGAGCATAAAAAAGTTGTACGTTCGACGGGGTAATTGGCTTTGACCGCGAGAGTGCTTAACGAAATCTGGCAATGTAATTTCGTCCCTAACCCTCGTCTGGTGAACGAGGACAGAAGACGCGCGAAGTGGGGAAAACGACTTCGGTCTCGTAAAATTTCACCTCGTAAAAGTGATTAGACCGCCGCTACACCGCGCACTCCTGTTCCGCGCACTCCTATGCCGCGTTTACCTATCGGACGAGGACGAAAAAGAAGGGCTGCGAGGGGCTGAAGAGTGGAAGACCGGAATGGACGTAAAAGCCCGACCACCGGAATACAGGGCCGTAAAAAACTCGTCGTCAAAAGCATCCCCTTCCGCTTGGAATGTACCCTTCCCTCCGGTCTCCCCCCACCCGACGACGGTGGTATAAAGCACCCACTGGGCCTGGCGCTCGTTTATTAAAAGCGCTCCAGGAAAGCAAAAAAGACCGGAGAGCGTTCTAGGACGGGCTACTCGTCCGTCGTGCAAAGCTTCCGTTTCTCGAGATCAATTTGAGAATCGACCTCCGACAAGTCGATCGAACGATCGGTCCAAATTTTATCTAGTCCAAGTATCGTTGAATTAAAGGAAAGAAATTTCCTTTGAAAGGGCATTTTTTTCTGCCCAGTCGTCTTTCCCCAATTCATGGATTGTTTATTCTCTTTTTTCATTTCTTTTGGGTTTCTGTCGCTTTTTGTGCTTTTACGATCATCCCGTCCTCCCGTAGTTCAATAATTTTCATCCCATCGAAAAAGCTTCGATTCGGTTTGGGAAACGCTAATACGATAAAGTATATCGGATCGGAGTGCGAATTAACGAGGAAAATCACATTATGCGCTTACAAATATTTATTCGTCTTCACGCTTCATATTTAGCACTAAACGAACGAGGCGGTTCGATGTTGGCCCATTGTTTGTCAAGTTTATATTTACAGTCTCTCTCGCACTCCCTATAGCCCTCTCTCCTCTTTTCTTCGTCCCTCATCACCAATCCTTCTTTCCACATGATACGATATACAATCGAATAATCGCGTTTAATGCGAAATACGAGAAGCAAGGGTAATCTATATTATTTGGCCGTTCACTTTTGTTTAAATTAATCAAATAGGGTTTATATTTTGTATCTTTCTTTTTATAATTTTTAGTTCATTGATCTTTTGCCCGTTCAAAAATAACAGTTGGTAAGAAATAAAACGAGGAAATTGGTCTCGCGACATTGTTATTGAAAAGATCAGTGATCGTTTGGAATTAATTTCATAGGAACCAAGGGGGAGGGGGCTTGTTTGCAAATCGCGCTAAAAAGAGGGGGAAGGATGTCGCAAACGGCACGTTAATCCTACGAAATGAATCCGAAACGAGATTACACCAGTCCGAACCGATTTTCCGTTATCGCCCTATGATAAACTATATTTTTCTCGCAAATAAAATAAAAAGTAACGAGAGTCGCATAAATCAAGTATGGTCGACGCGTCGAACGTTAAACCAACAGTCGCCGAAATACGGTTCGCGTGCGTTCAATCGCGATTTTTCGATTAAGCTCGCTGGCGAGAGTCATCCCGAGCGGAAAGAAAAGACTTCGCGCGTGATTACCTTTTCCGAAATACGAAACTTTGTTCGAATTGGAATCGGTCGGTCGTTCGGTAAGTTAGTATTTTAGCAACGAATGCACTCAGTATAATTCGTGCGATTTGCCAACGGCGCTGGTGGTGCGCGGTTGGTGGTCGATAATTAGCGCGCGGTTAATATGCACAATTATTAAGGATTGATAATCGGACCTGTGCGTCCATTATAACGGCATGGAGATAGATGATAATAGGTTTCCATCGATATTGACCTTCCTTCCGTCCGTCTCTCTCTCTATCTCTCTATCTATCTATCTATCTATCCATCCTCTCATTCCTCCTATCCCGATGTTACTTTCCTCTTATCCATTCATCGTCGACGTCCTCCTTGTTTTTCCTACTCTTTCTCTCTTGTTATCAGTTCGATTTTCGAAGGAGAAAAAAGGGAGCTTTCTCGTATCTTAAATGGAAAACCGTCGACTGAGTAAGATACTACTATGTTATTATTCCTGCACCCATTTACTTCTCGAGGGTGAATGCTTTGTCTTTTACTTTTCCTTTTTACCACTCTTTTTCCGCGATTTCTCGCGTCAAAGAACAAAAGATCTTCTCTCGTTTCTTGTCGAAGAAGAAAGAAATGGAGTGAAGGAAAATATCGGGATGAAGAAGTGCGAAGCGGGAAAAGAGTTGTCTCTTGGCACGATAGCCGGCTTATAACGAATTCATGGAGATGAGTAAGACGACCGGTCTTGAGTGTAAAACGGAAGGTAGATGTAAAAGCAAGAGAAAAGAGATCGGAGATAGGGAGAGAGAAAAACGGGAAAAGGGAAAAATAGAGAATGAAAAGAAGTACCTACAACATTTATTTATCGAAACGGAATCGTACCACTTTTCCTTTTTGTATGAAGGTGACAGAGGAAGAGTTGGAAGAGGGTGCAGGGTACAGGGGGATACCTAACTTTTTTCTCTTCTTTTTTCTTTTCTTTTTTC